GGGAACTGAAAGAAGAGCGAGGTGGGCGAAGACGCGGCTGAGATTCCCCGTGTCTTATGACAAACGAGACAACGGACTGTCAAATTATCCCGTGGAGCGACTAAATCGCGCCACGATGAAATTCGTTTTATCGGCGTCATTTTTATCCTTTTTTGTAAACGAGACGTGCGGTGGGTCGCGAGGTTGCTTGAATTTGCGGTGATGACATCCTTGATGACTTTTTGATTTTAAAGCAACGTGAGGAATTGACTCAATTAATTCTCTTTCACTCTCTCTTTCTCTCTTTATATAGACACAATGATATTCCTTCGAAATGCGAATATAATCTTCATATATAACGTTAAAAAATCACCTGTATGTCATCACTTCATTTTCGTGTAACTTCACGCCTTTCGAAATTCTCATGAGCGCTTGGCAATGTCATCACTGTTGAACTTTACCAGCTGCAAACGCCTTTATGTGTAAAATCGGTCGTGTCACACTAGGTGTGTAGTTATAGAAAAAGAAAATTGTCCGGGGAGAAAAATGTATTTCGAAACGGTGTAAAACGTGAAAGGTAAGATAAACGTGGTGTAAAAGCTTTAAGCGACGAGGCGAAATGCCGCCGTGTTGCGTTCCACTTTGCTGAACTTTGTTGAACCTAACAATCGATGCCGGTCGACTTATTAATGCAACGACCGGAGGACGCGGTAGGCGTGCACTCGCTGTCTTCGACGCCGACAATGTCGTACTTTTAGCCGCAGCTGCGCCGAGTAACGTGTAAAAGTTTAATACGCGAGTTGTCTCGAGACAGCTACGTCCCCATCGCGAGAAAAAACGTGGAAAATTCCTTGTCCGTCAGAAAATGTCGACAGTTCAATAGAGTTCTCACATTACACGACAATTAAAATTAGCTAAACGAGATATGCAAAAGGATACTATATTTTTTAAAATTAAGTTCTTTTTTGTAGAATTTTGTTTCTTGAGCTATAGAGATTTAGAGAATTTTTTAATTACCCGCAGAAGTTGATCTTAAAAGAGAATTTTTTTTTTACCATAATTATAAATTTTAATTATAATCATAATAATTTACCACACACTTTCATAATTACAAATATTAATATATCGAATATCGTTTCTCACAAATTGAATATAGGTAGGTATTTAAATCGACACTATTTTAAATTTAGAAAAAATATTAGGAAAAATATAAAAATTACTAAATAAAATATTATAAAATAATTATAATCGCCTTTCTTTTTTTATATAAAAATATAATTAATCTGTTTCTATCATTTCAATAATAAATACTTTCTAACATTTAAACGTGGAGGTAAGAAAGGAGCGAGAGTAGGTTTTATTTCATTTTACTTGTCACCGGTTCGCAGATCATTCAGAACGGTAGCACGGCACTTTACATTCGAGAGATCAATGCACGTTACTACGTAAACGCGCAATCGAGTTATTCATCTTGCAGTTGTGAGAACTTAATAATAAAGGTCGATTTTCGCGATGGTCTGACAAGTGTCACGAGGAATTAACCGGATGCCTCTGTGCGAGAAATAGACGGTTGAACAAGGCTTATTAATTAATTAATCCAATAAGAAACTTAACACATCCGTCGCAACGCGAATTGGAATCTACACCTCGTCTTGCTTTTTATAGAGAGTTGATATAGAAACGCCGGAAGTACAAAGATAATTCATACGAAATGATCAGCGCTGAACTGCTAAGTTTTTATTCACAGCTTCATTGAGTTTGAAAATCTAATTCAATCAGCGACACGAAACTAATACGTTTTCCATCGTTCTTCCTCTGGTCTTTACTTATTCAATATCTTTCGAAAATTGACAGAAATTATCATAGCAATTCAATTATTGTGCCAATCTGCGCAAACTCGCAGTGCAGCGATTGAGCTTAATGAGACAGGACGGGGGATGGTAAAGTTTTTCTAAAGATACTCACGTGCCCATGCCTGTCCATGTCGTTGTTAGTGAGCTTGACTTTCTCGAAGGAGACGACCTGCTTTCGGAGTTGCTCGCCCGTGAAAGGTGAATCCGGATGGACGTAGAGTCGAGCTGGCGCCGGCGGATCCGCCTTTCCGGCCACCAACCAGCAGCTCCTGTGATATGCGTACCGATACCTTTTGTTGTCGACCGGTACAATATCCATCAGGACCGCGTATCGACTGTCCGCCTTCAACCCGTTGAATGAGACACGACACGTCGGAAACATCCGCCTGCGCAAACACAAACGTATATCCTTGGTCAAAGAAGTCTGTAGAATTCGAATTAAATTTAAAACATTTCATTTTTTAACAATTTTCAACTACTAGCAGTTGTCGTTTAAATTAGTAACAATTTCATTTTCGCAATTACAGAAATCAAAGCTAAACTGTAAAAAACACATTTTGTAATCGTGTTAAGATCGATCCTTGTTTAAATTTTTTATATATTTGAGTGTTAATTTAACATAATGTGATGGCGTTATTTGAATATTTTATGTTAAGTTGATATTCAACTTTTCAGTGTTAAAATAACACAATTTATAAATAATTGAATAAATATAATATAAAAATAATGTATTTTCAAACATAAAATTTAAGATATATGAATAAAATATGTTAATTTCCAACATATTATAAATGTTGTAACTCAAAAATATTACAAATATTTGATATATTATAAATGTTAATTTTACTGAAGAAATACACTTCCGCAATTTGCATAGAAATTGTCAACGTTATACCGTTTATGTTAAATTTTTTACATAATATTTGTATTACTTCCTAACATATTCATCTCGTTAAATTAACATAAAAATTTTGACAGACCATTTGGGACACATGAAATGTGTTAAACTTAACACAAATTTTCCAATTGTGCACAAATCTTTAAATTGTTAATAATTAATTCCCGACTCGATACAGAATCCATAAACTGTCTTCTGACAATTCCGTTATAAAGCTGCAGTTCCTAGAATAACTTTTATGACTGTTAGGTAAAATTAACTGAGATTGATTAATTAATTCTTCGTTTTTTGCTAACAACGGAACTAGAAATCTCTTTAGATATTTTTGATAAAAGAAAAGTGTCGCACTTTATCAATCAATGATCCAGAATGATTCGCGATAATTTTAGGGTTGACCCGTTCACGATCATCGAAGGGGCAAGAAGAGAATAAGCGAGGAAAGGGGGCCGGCAGGGGCGAGAGGGAGAGATGGGCCCGGACTGGGGATTAGTGGTAAGGGGACCGCGGAGGCAGGGAACCTGGCGTGAATGTTTTGCCTCGGAGGCCAAACATTAATACCGTGTCGGGCCCCCCGCTGCTCGACCACTAAAACGCGGGGACACCCGCCGATCTTATCTACGTCTTCTCCTCGGTCCTTGTCGACTCGGTATGCATTCATCCCGCCAGCGCCACGAGTGTGAGTAATGCTTTTATTTATCAAGCCGTCTTTTGTTAATGAATTGAACGAGGGAGAAGGTGGGTCCTTACCCTCGCGCCACATCACACCCCCTCCTGCCCCTTCTTCCTCATTTGTGTCTGATTTTCAACCCTCCCCTCTCCCCTTTCGCGTGACCATTTTTCTCGTGACCGCGGGCACAAACTCTGAGGATGCCTACGACTTTTTTTTCCGTCGGATTAGCCACCAAATTCCCGTCCCGCCGCGAGGATAATGGGCTTTAAGGATGCGTCTGAAAACTCAGTATGAGTACCGGGAACGCAAAAATTAGTAAAAATAAGGGATAAAGACAATCTTATTAATACATTTACTGCTTTGCATGATCAATATTTTACAGTTTCGCATTTTTGCAACAGAAATTGCATAAAGTTGCCAAGTTAAAAAATTCATGCGTAGAGCGTAAGTAAGAAAATTGAACTCTGCCCTGAAAATCTCTAAAGACAACGAGAAGCGTAATTTACGGAAGAAAGAGAAGAGGTCGCCGGGGGTAGTTCCAGGACTGCCTAGCGGAAAGTCTAAGGGGCGATAAAGGGGCGGTAAGTTGACGGCTGAAGGGAGCGTCGACCAATGTCGCTAAGACGCAGATCTAATTACCGACGCACGAGTAGGCGCGCACCCGGCTGGAGGAACGAATCCCCCGCAGAAGGGAACCCACGACGAATAAAGAGCAGGGATGTTGCCAGTCGTGGCGGGCAATTAGGCGCGCGTCGGCCGCGTCGTCCCTCCCATCTTTTCCGCCTCCTTTCTCTTCCGGAAAGTTTCCCGGTTCCTTGAGAATCTCGTCAGTGTTTTTCTGTGCGACCATCCTCGCACCCCATCTTGTTAGATCAGCCCAGGGCTGGCGACCTTAACCCTACTTACGAAGACCCAATATTTTGTTCTGTCCACGAAAAAAATATTTGACAAAGGCACAAAAAAGAATTTTGATGATAAACTACACAGTTGGAAAATTTGTATTAAATTTAACACGTGTTACGTTTTCAAACTAAATCTAGTCCATTTAAATTTTTATGTTAATTTAACACAAGATGATATGTGCTAGAATGTAACACAAACATGACGTAAAAATTAACACAACACGTGTAATATTTTGACACAATTTGGAAGCATATTTTCTCAATGGAAAATTAACATTTATAATATATAAAAATTCATCTTTTATTCATTTTATTTTAGAATTTACGTTTTAAAACTACATTACGTTATTTGTTTACACACTTATAAATTGTCATTATGTCATTTAACACTAAGAAATGTTATATCAAATTAACAACCATCAGATATGCTAAAAATTAAATACAAAAATTTTATCAAAAACTTTTAATAAGTTTATATTTTACCGTGTAAAAAAAGTATAAATTATCTGTGATGACATAGAAATAAATTTTAACTTGTAGCACAATTTAATAATCAATCAATAAACAGGATTTTAAGCCATGATTCGCTACGTTATTTTTACCTTTCTTCTTAAATAATGCCTATCGTAATTATGTCAAAAATGCATTTCTTATTGTACGATCAATTCGCCCCATAGGACGTCACATCGGTACAAAGGACTATTCTACGTCGATAGTTAACTTCGTGTCCAATGTTAGCATTTCCGTCGTTAAGTCGAAGATATATGTTTGAGAAGGTGGTATATCGCAAAGCCTCGAGACAAACCGCGAACATAAAACTTCTCGACTGCCTTCCGCGAATAGGCAGCCCCTGAGAGATCCCTCCCTGGACTTCTCCCCTCACAGTGTGATCCCACTCGAATCCTCACGCCTCTGGTCGCCACCGCTCGTCCCAAGGATCCTTATAAACTGGCATAAGCTCGCCCGGTTTCTACACCGGCCCGACTAATTAACTGACGGTCAATATAGCAATTTAACCCGCCAGCTTGCCACCAGCTCGTTCTCCGCTTTTTATTCTTCTACCTCCCCTCCTCCCGATCCCTTCCCCTTCCCGCCGTCTATGGCCCCCTGCGCTCAGGTAGTCTTAACTCTTTCACAGTTTTATATTACTGGAGTATATTTGTGTGCGGCGTTCTTATCCTTTTATTTGTACGATGTGTTGCATTATGTTACTTTCTCGTTATTCGCAATTGAATTTGTTTACTCACAAAGAGGCGAGCAAGCGGAAATATTGCACGTGTACACGTATGTTAAGCTTACATTTCATCTAGCCGATCACTCTCTGCGTTTTTATATTCCTGAACCAATTGAGAGTTTCATGTTTAAATTTTTATTATTTTCTTTCCTGCCGTTTCCGAGTTCGTGATCCATACCACGTTTATAGCTTTTTTTATATTCACGATCTCCAGCCACTTGTTAAATAACGTCGGCTTACCGCAAGACAGTTGCATCGATCTCACTAATATTCTCGCCAATTTTCTCTTTCTCTTACCTCTCTCTCAAATCAATTTTTTTTATAAATAAGAATCGATAAGATAGACCGCTGTGTGACAAAAAAATTTACATTTTTGAAAATTTTATCTTTCGTAAAACAGCGATAAAAAATCTGTGAGTTCTTCACGTATTATTTATTTTATTTTTATTATTATATAGTAAAATATTTTGTATTTGTGTTAAAATAGAGATTCCTATTAAAAATTTTGTGTTAAATTTTTAACATTTCTGAGTGTTAAGATAAAACAATTTATTAAAAATAAACAAATAAAAATAATGCGTTTTAAAACGCAAATTCTACAATAAATAAATAAAATGTATGTTAATTTAATGTAAATGTTAATTTTACTGAAATGTGTTAAGTTAATATATAAATTAATTAATTTATAATGCGTATGTAAATTTTACTGAAAAAATATGTTTCCACATAATTCGCTTACAAATTGTGTCGTTATATTCCTCGTGTTAACCTCGTATTAATTTGTGTCAATTCCTAATATATTCATATTATGTTAAATTAAAATAAAAATTTAGGTAAACCATTTGGGACACGTAATATGTGTTAGTACAAATGTTCCAACTGTGTACTCTTTACTCAGATTTGGGTTTCAAGACAGCATTATTGCTGATACTTCGCCTATTATTTGTGCAATTTCTAATTTTTTTGCGTTTTTTTGCGTCTTACTCTTTCTATAATTTACAAATGCACATCAATAAAGTTGTTATTATTATTATTCTTTATATTTCATTAAAAGTTGTAAGTTATAATTTCTGCGTCACGTATTATAAAGGATTAATCTCAACAAACTTTTAGATTGTTCTCAGAATAATATCGTTCTTTCCCCTGTTTCTCCCACCTAATTCCCGCGATTAAAGGATCGCAATTTCAATGCGATTAGGACGTTTGCTTATGTTTCGATGTAACGTGTCAGGCGAGTGACAGCTTGCTCAGGGTAACGACACCTCTCGCCCTAACCCTAGCCTGTTTCTATCGCCGGGTTCACCCTCGGGAATTTTCGTGGGTGTCGCGACGTGACCCGTGGCAGGACGTGATTGAGTTTGCAGCGACATCGCCCCGGGGGCGACGGCGGTTTCGGGACGAGGGCCGAAGGGGTGATCGGCCGCGAGTAATGAGAAAGAGTCAATCGCCCCGACGTTGTCCAGGAGAGAAATTCAGCCTGCGATGCATTAGCGGTACATCGTCCCGAGGGAATTCTTCCCTGGAGCATCTGGTTGCTTCGGGAATCGCGTTTATCCCCTCTTCCTCTTGTTCCCCTCGAGAAACGAGTCTAGAATTGTTTCTGACTGCGATCCATCGATTAATCGTTGTGAAATACGCACGATACTAGTCTTTCTATCTCAACATTAATGTACAATAAAATAATAATCATATCTCACGTTTCCAAGTATTGTTACACGCAATTTTAGATTTACCGTTTGTCATATCAACATTGACGCTGGCGGAGATAACTGCAGGTTACGATTTGTATGTATTACGGAATCATGTTACACAATAAAGAATTATGTAATATATGCGAGTATTCATCAAACAGTAAAAATAAAGTAGACTTCAAAATTTAAATCATGATATAATTAAAAAAAATAAACGATTCAGTTATAACAATTAATAATTGCGCGATGTCGTTGAACTTGACTATATCGACACCCAGAGAAAAGGTTGCTTCGATTTAAAGAAATTATGTTCAAATCCAAAAAATGACGTTCAAATCATAATTTCTTGAATTTGAACATAATTTCTTTAAATCAAATAAATTTTATTTGATTTAAAAAAATAATGTTTAAATCAAAGAAATTGTTTCTTTAACCATATAGCAAAGAAAATTTCTTTAAATCGAAGCAACCTTTTCTCTGGACAATCACCGATCGCGTGATTAAAACTTATCGATGTCCATCTGGAATGCGGCAGTTATCTTCGATACCGACAAATAAATCAGCGTTATAATCCAGATAGCGATCATCCTTTCAGGCGAATCGATAATTTGAAGTACTTTGACCTTACCTGCCAGTCTTTGTGATGATCATCTCCGTGCCGAGCTCGTTGAATTTATCCCAGAGATCCTTGGTTTCGAGATGGCACACCACGTGCCTGAGCTCCTCGCAATTCGAGCGTTCTTGGAGCAGAGGATTCGTCACCGGCGAAACGCCGTTACCACTCGTGCTTCCGGTATCGTCCGTTTCCGGTTCGTCCTCCGGATTGATCGTCTCCGAGACTGGCGGGGCACCTCGAGCGACCCCAGAACCGCTGGCTTCCCTTTCTGCAATCCATGTTTTCGCAATGTTCGGTATAAGTATTAATATCATGCGCGACATAAAAAAATTTTATGTATATCTATAAGCTCCGTAATGCTATATAATACCGAATTATCCTCTATACTCGTATAGATCGTCGCCGCGTCATTACTATGAATTATTATCCACCTCGTGCACAGGTTTTTATTCGCCATCAGCGCGCCGCTGTACACGGGTACACAACCGGAAACGACCGCGAGAGGGAAACCGCTTCCGGCACGATCCGATATAAAAATCGAGGATCGCTGAAGCGTAGTAAAACCTCATTGCAAGCGAAGGCAGCCGAGCTTAAGGACCGGCATTTATCACTGCCGTGTCATTGACGCTCGTTTTTACCCGTTCAGAAGTCACTAAAATAGCAAAACGGCGAACGGGAGTTACCGTGAATGAACCGCGCTCGATGAATATTTAAGAGCCGTTCAATTACAGTTATATTTCGCCGTTCATTCCCCGTTTCGCGACGATGTTTTTCTTGCGCGCCGGCGATACTTTCGCCGCTTCGCGCGGCGAGCGAAATTAAAAACGATACTCCGTCGATTAGTAATTTACGAAAGGGCCGCCCATTACCGCGCAAATCGTTATTAATTTTGTCCGAAGGAGCCGACATATTGCGATAACTCGATTCTAAATTACGCATGTACAAGCCTCGAGACACCGATTAATACCTATCTCTGATACAACGCTTTTATGCTGCGCCGCATCCTACTTGCTACTCCGAACCTGCAAAGTTTTTTCGACCCTTCTCGCAAGAAAATTCTCGCATTTACATATATGTGTGGACGTTAATGAAAAATCGCTTTCGTGACACGCAATTATTTATCGTTTATTCGACAACTTTATTAACGGAATAATGAAGAAAGGGAGTGTCTTTGATTAAGATTTTAATCGAAAATTGAAGCTGAAAATGGTAGATCGAAACGAATTGAAACGATGCCCGTCCCGTTCGAATTCCGTATCGCGAGAATTGAATATATAATATAAAGTTGTAATATTAAAGAGTTTAAACAAAAACTGCAATATCAATAATGATGCGATAAACGTTTTATCTACTTTAATTAATCCAGTTTAAATTCTTGTTTTCGCTATTAAATAAATCTCAAGATATTATCGGACAATTTTTATTGTGCAGCGCGGAAATAAGATCGTATCGCAGTTGTGTCAAAGCACTTGGAAGTATACGACACGAGAGGCATAAAGTTCTGAGAAAATCACGTTGATTAAAACGGCTCACTTGATTAATACCGCAAATTAACTCGGAGACGCCGCGTCTCATTGAGGCGTTTTATTTCGCGTAGATCGTGCTAATCTCTCGCGTTTATACGCGTAAATGTTTACGTACACGCCGATTCAACGTAACGTTGTGTACATATTATGGTTCCACGCCGTTCAATCACATCGACGTAAATCTAAGCGTAATCCATTTGGCCGGTGGTTATAGGTATCCAGCTATCGATGATAATATATCGTAGGTCTGGCGATAAGCAGATTCCTTCGGCGGTTCGGCATCGCGATCGATTATAAATATAACGCTGCGAACGTTACGCGCGAGAAAAGCCAGCTTTACAATTATATTACGCAGATTGTTTTCGATTTTAATGACGCAAGGAAAAAGTAATCGGCTGATAAAGCGACGTATTGCCGTCGGCGGTGATTAATCGTTGCGCCACGACGCACGGGCGACAGGAAGTCAAGCTCTCTTTTTCAAGATACTTACACGCGAATTTCTACAGGATGTGATTGTACGACGCGAAGATTGAACGCTCGACGCATGTGACTCGCCGGCGCAAAGGGTTAATTTTGTTTTAACGACCTTCAACCATTGTTAAGATAAACATAATCGTTGAGGGATAAAACTTGAATTTTAAAGAATTACAATTGGCACATATAAAATCGATTTCGTTCGCACGATGGAACAGAATAAATTTTCAACATCGCGATTCGTAGTTTGCGCAACGTATAAAACCAACATCGATGCAAAAGTATCCCGAGACGATTCTTTAATAAATTCACTGGCAATTTTTTTCCAGTGGCTTTCCGATAAGGGCCTTCTCTGCGCACGCAGTTGAGATCAGAGTTATTTATATCTAACGGGAATGCGAGACCAGCATCTGCCATTTTAACAGGTCCCTTCTCCGCGTAATTCGCGGACACGTATTTACCACGTGCGCCTTCGCGTTTCCATGGTAAGAGCCGTCGTTGTACTCGGGGAAACCGTAATAAACTTCGTAATGGGCAGTTACGAAGTACCGACCTGGCTGGTATGTCAGGTGCCGGCTATCAATTTTGCACGTTGATGCCGCGCGCGCGAGGAATTAATTGTCCATTCGGCATAAGGCGAAATCCGGCATCGGTATTATAGCCTCGCTTTTCCGGTTTTCTCTCTGCGAAAATCCGTAATTGATCGCCGTGTACAAGCCCGCAATATATGCACTGTGCACGTTTCTCTTTCCTTGTCGGAAAATAAGCACGTAAAGAAAGAAGAAAATCTTAACGTCACTAAGATAATACGAATCGATTACAAGTCAAAAGCAGGATGGATGCACCGCACGAAATATGAATAAATATGTGAATTATTGTATCGGCTGCCGAATACAATTTTATATTTTTTAAATATAGAAAGGTCGATTTTGCTGAAAGATTTAAATTTCGCAGATCTGAAAATAATTTTATTGAACTATCAAAATAATTATGTTAGGAACTGAAAAGTGACGAGCAATGTTGCAAAAAATTTTGACATTCTAAACTTAAAACTTACAACAAAATTATTTTGATGGTCTAAATAAAATTAATTTCTAATCTACATCCAGCAAAATTTTAGATCTTTCAGTAAAATCATTTTTTCGGTCGTATATGATAAAAATATATGAAAAGGATGGTTTTGCTCAAGTGTCTAAAATTTAACTAGATACAAATCTGAAAATAATTTTATTAGACCATCAAAATAATTATGTAGGACACTCAAACTCATTACTAAAATGTCAAAACTTTTTACAGCATTGCTCGTCATGTCTGAGATTCCCACATAATTATTTTAACAGTTTAATAAAGTTATTTTGAGATCTCTATCTGGCTAAATTTTTAAATACTTCAGTAAAATCATTCTTTCGGTATGTAATACCTATATAAAATATTATAGATATAAATATAATTAAATATAATATATAATAAATATATGACTGAACAAACATCTCAATATATATATCACAATTAAAACCACAACAAGTGTTCAATATTATTTCGATTTTATACGAATGTGTATTATGCATGCGGTGAAGCTAAATGTAATCGAAATATCCACGTCACTTTTCTCACTTCAGGATAAGCTCACGTAGAACAAAAACCACACAAATAAGGAAGTAACGCGGTGGCTAAATAAAGTCTCTTGGTTTACCTTAAGTTACTACAGGTTATAATTTCACATACCGCCGCTCTTAGCCGGCATCACGCTAATAACGCTAAACTAAAGCAAGCTTCGTTGTAAGTGGATAATTATCCTTTTTCCAGGCGCTACCGCGCGCTCATTATATTGCTTACCTGCCGTGTATGACCGTCATGCCGTAATCGAGGACATTAGTCATATTACATTTAATAACGCCTAAACCGCGGTGAGGCCAGAGGAATGATTCTCGAAAGTTCGGCGATATAATATTGATCAGCCGCAAAATTGATTGACGGTAATACGTGCCATGAATTATCCAGTCCAATATGTAAATTATCATCACGTCCTCCGTTATTTCGTTCCGTATTTACATCACACGCATTTTGCGGTAAACGCCTTTCGATCTCTGGCTTATAACCACTTTATACATACAAGAAAGCAAGAGAGACAAAAAAACAAAATTTCGCTTCATAAAGATATGAACTCTGAAGTACTTGAATAAGTGCATTTTACACTCTTGCATACCATGAAACAGTCTTCCTAGTACAAATTAATATTATATAAATTATCATGATACTTCTTGTATAAATTATAATTCATAATGATTGTAATCACTATTTTATTTTACGTATTTCGATTCGCGTCGATTAATTCTTCTGAAATATATTTTATATATTTTACATTTTATCAAAAGTTCGCATTACGACGAATATCGCACACGATGCATGAATTATGTAAATTATCTCTCGATTACAACATCGCCAATTCGCTTCACGAATGGTATCGCACATTTATATTTCTTGCCTCTCTATGTGCATCTTTATAGCACGTATGATAAATTATATAAAATACGTATACTGAACTTATATCTTCCTAAGCTCGTAGACATATTTATTAAACCATGCAATATGGAAAGTGTCTAGTACCGATCATTGGTTGTTAACCCGCTGATACGGGCACTAATTTGTATCCGGGTAGATGTATAATTCCAAATTTTTAAGCACGATTCGCAAAAGTCATCAGCGAACGATGAACTTTAATTCTTTTTAATGCTGCATATTTCAAAATATTATATTTAATATTGATATGTAGTTCTTAGTAATCTTTAGTTTCTTTGGAAAGTTTTGAGAATTTTCAGAAAAATTATTAGTTTATTGAGCAGTTCCGGAGTTTAACGCGCTTAAAATAATTCTATAAATAAATATCTCAACGACGAAGTCCAAAATAAAATTCTAAGAGGCAATAAAATCTCCTGTCGTACATCGAAGAAAAAATAATGTTATATTAACAGCATTATTTTAATTCAAAATCATTTTGTCAATTCTCACACACACACTCACACACAATAACTCTATTAATAAAATGCGTCAAACTCTTGTTTTAATAAAATTTTATTGCTTTCATTAATCCTGTTATTGAATCAACAACATTATTTTTAATTAAGATAATGCTGTTGATATATCATTTCTTTTCAGTAGAAATTACTTGCATTCTTATTAATTATGTATCATATATGATAAGTTAGTTAATAAATAATCTTAATTTAGCCATAGTGATAAAAGTGAAGGATATTTATTGACTCACCTA